TGTTGTGATATTTCATGTTGGGAGATGGCGATCTTAGTTTTTAGAGCGTGCCCTCAATCCCATTGTATATATATATTTAGCGGAAATATATTCAAATCAATTGCGAGAATTAAATTTTAGCCATCACGCTTCCTCACATAATCAATAATAAAAAAATAGAGTTCTCGCAAGTAGGAATCTTATTTAAGAAGGAAATGGAGATAATGAACAGTTTTCAATCTCAAAGGTCATAAAACAATACAAAACAAGAGCAGAGCAAACACGGACCTACGAAACATCAGAGGTGGGATCAGGTGCCATGGAGGTGTGAGCATCCCCTGCTGACCGGTCACACCCGCTCATTGTCATGTTGAAATAACGGAAAATCCGTCGTCAATTCATTGTATAAATAATGGACTAACAATTGCGCAGCACAGTTAAGGTTACGAAAAGGAGGCGGAGCCTAATTTGTACGGGAAAACTTGACTATGACATCATACACAATATACGTCATGCGACATATCTTTAAAATACCACAAAATGAGTTTATCTGCTAATTTAATCAGTAAGAAATCATCAAACTACATAAAAACTTACTACAGCGTGTTGTTTTGTTGTTAGTTGAATACCACTTAACAAGTCATAAACAAGTCACTGATCGCAATACACTTGTCAATATGACGTCATTTCTTACAATGTGTATACATTTAGAGACAGATCAAGTAATATTTTCTCAACAAAATATGTATTCTCTAATTAAATAAAATATTATTTACAGATATTCTATGGGCCAATAACTTGAATTAAAGTCTTCTTCATTATTTTATTAATATATTTTCTGTACATTACGTATTTAATTGACACTGCCGTATATTTGTATGCAAGTACATCGGTGGGTAATGTGGGGGTCTTAATAAATCGATCTAGTGCAAGGGCATACACTCTATGGATCAAAGTAAGCTTTTACATTTCAACTATAGAACTATTAAGGAACCTGAAAAGTACTGCGATCCTAATGAAATCTTAAAAACAATTTAATTATATCAATAATTCGTGCCGCTGACAAGCCAAAAATATAGCATTCGGTCATACAAGTATAAGTTTAACAATGGATTTGCAGAATTTAGACAGGATCGCAGCACTTGTTAGAAACTACAATGCGTGTTAAAAATATTTATATCGTCGCTGTAATATCAAAATGTCGTAAGTCGATTTTCGGCGATAAAATTTTTATTGATATTTTGGAATCTGCAATATCGAATACATGTTCTGTCAAAACGTCATGTCTCTAGGCCAATTAGAAAGTGAGGTACAGACGTGTGATAAAAACGCGTATGTCCATTGGATGCATTTTTTTTTCTGACAAAAGGTCGTATATCTCTGGGCACTGACAAAGATGTCACTGGCAGTCTGATATCAAGGGAAAAATTATAATTTTAGTTAAATCTTTTATAATTTTTACTAAAAAATGTGTTCTATATACAAAACAAAGTATATTTATTTAATAAACAGAGAAATCAATAGAAAGATTGATGAAAAGTTAGATGTTAGGTAACTTCATGACAAACTGAATTGTTTTCGCAGTTTGTAACTGCAATTAATTTATGAGTATGTTAATTCATATAAAACATTTTAGAGCGTTCTAATATCAGATTCGTACGCTTACAATACATTGCAATGGTTTCTTTCAATGCTTTTCTGGAGATACGACAATTTGTACTGAAAAAACATCCAGGACAGAAAGGAAAACACTAGACATACGACATTTTGAAAAAATATGTTTTTTGTCTCTCCTGAAAAGTTGAGATTTTTGACTTACGACAATTTGATATTACAGCGACGATATACTAAACTTGGAAATTTAACGTGCTTATGCCCTTGCACTAGTGATATTAATATGTAACATCAAAACTTCAAGTCAATGTGCTAAAATCGCGTCACTGCGCATCACGTGACTAGTCTAAATATAAAATATAATCGTCCTCGATATGTAGTTATTAATCATAATTACAATTATCCAATATAAATAATGTGCTAAAAATAATCACCATCTCGATTACGAATACATTTTTAAATACGAAATTTAGTCGATATTTCCATTGCGCACTTTAACTGTACTGCGTGGTATGAAAAACGTCAGTCAGCTTTTGACTCAATGATTAATTTGTATTTGCTGACAAGGTCATTGTATCGACAATAGATCTTACGAAATGATGAATTTAAACGAGACTGCTGATATTCTTGTTTCATCAGCTTGCTAGTCAATGATTTACATGTACCTCGTTTCAGAAATTCATCATACGTAGAGCATGCTCTTGCGTATCGAATCAAATGAGATATATACACTCCGTATGCAGATGATGAAGGTATATTGCTGCATAAGAATGGGAAGTCGACGATAGAAAAGTTAAAGTCATCACGTTTATCATATAACTTGGCTGTTATGTTACCATTACCGTCTTTTTCAAGTAGAATATCCAAGTATGAAACAGATGTGTCAGATTCTGTGGTATCTTTTATCTCAAGCTCACTGGGATATATCGTATCGGCGTAGGATAACCATGTCCTCTGGTTTTTACAATAAATACAATACCATATTCATATTTTGAGTAAGAAAGACAGATCATCAAAAAATAAAAAATAAAAAAAATAAATAAAAATAAATAAATAAATTAAAATATAGTTAAATCAACTGAAGTAGTGTTTTATGCATTACACACGCATTCATGCATGTAATTGATAACCTTGTCATCCTATCAAAACCTTCAAGGGGTCCCTACCATCTACTTTAAATTTCACAAAGAAAATTGAAATGTCTTATATTGACTTTCATGAGTAATAATAACATTAGAGCCATATAGGAAATATGTCAGATCATGATATATGAAGAAATCTCAACACTTAGAACAGAAAGAGTAACGATTTATTATCACAAATTCATTTTTTTTTTTTACAAAATTTTCACAAAAGAACAAGGTACAGTTTCAATAGAAATTAAGCCCTATATTTTTCTAAAATATGAAAGTGATATAAAAAACCAAATGTCATTCTTTCTGAATCATTAGAATTCCCTGTATTAAGAATACACATATCGTTTTTCTCATATGACAGACCTGTTTAATCTTACGATTTCGCCGTAATTTGAATGGATTTTTAGTCCAAAATACGTGTCACGTTTTGCTATTATGGAAATACGGAAATAAGAAATACATTTGTTTAGAACTGAGTAGTTAGTTTTCATTGTGATCTGTCTCAATTTCACGCTTTTTCATGCTAAGAAAAAGATTTCAAACACAGAAGTTATGCCGCTTTGCTAAAACGCTGTGGTATCAAATGACTAATAAAAATATATAAAATGTTTTAGTAATCAGAAAAGCAGTTGTTCTCGATAAATATATATAAAATCGACGGAAAATGAAATCTTACTGGCAAACGCCAAATCTCACGGACAAATCTAATCAGAAACACTGAGTAACAACGATATGGGTAAATAGGTCAGATATGACACCCTAAATGCTAATTGTGACGTCATCAACTTGTGCATTTTCCCGTATCCTCTTAAAAAGTTGAAGAAGACATCAATTTTCAGTGGAATTTTCTTTCACAAAACATTCTCTGCAACCATCGCCCAGAAAGATTTTGAGATATGTGATTTTTCATATCAGTTTACATAATATATCCAAAAAATTGAAGTGGGCGACAGTGGCAGACACTACATGTATTTTCTTAAGGAAAATTAGCACAAAAATGAGTCATTTTGAGGTTTTTCTGCTTTAAACTTAGAAATGTACTAAATTAATGACGTCATATTTCCAGGAAGGTCCATCTTCATGCCTTATTCTTTACTGAGTTATCATATTTATCTACTCAATTATTATTAAAGCCAATTTCATAACTTTCTAAGAACATTGAATTTTTAGGGCACAATAAAGCTCAAACTGTACCGTCTTCGTAAATACTTATTGCAACAGCATAGTATACCCTAATCTGTACTGAATTAAGTTTGCTTTCATCAATGCACAGTCACGAGATAAAAGCATAGTATGTGTACTGAATGGAGGTCATAAACAAATATCAATATCGCAAGGGCAAACCCTATATCAAATTCAAAATTTAAGTTGGCATTTGTTTCTTCATACTTTTTACTTTATAGGAAGTGCTACTGCTTTAGATATAATTCGCTTTGAATTAGTAAAACATTCATGTCAATAGACTTATGTCGAAATATATTTGACCTTTACTAAGTATTTTGTGTACTTATAAAGTCATGCTCTCGATTTAAAGAAATCCGCCTCCTTTTCCAAGCCTGAACGATGCTGCGTATCGTCATAATACCTCACTGTTCAATGACCTTGAGTTCCGATTTAAGGGCTAAATTCGAATCTGGAAATCTGTTATTTTTCTATAGATGAAGTAAGTACTTTTCACACAAGGTGTGAAATAAACAACAATAATTCTTAACAATATGCCGAGGTGATACATAAAATCAATAAAACAGATTTGTTCTATGGGTTATATTTTAAACACATAATCATTTTCTCTTAATAGTGTTTGGTACATTACTCAGAAGTATTGAAAAAGTATTTTTGAGTTTACATATTGAATATAATTATTATTATATATATCATTATTTATAACGAAGTACAAGAGATACAGAGAATAAAAAAAAAAATAAAGGCTCTTCATTTTTCAACCTCGTTTTTGATTAAATGGTTCAAAATTTACAAACATCCTTTAAAATCTGATTTGGAAATTAATTCTTGAAAAAAAGAATGTGCTGCTAAGCCACAGTAAAGACAAAATAAAGTAAGTTCGGTCTATTTAACCTTAAATATCTGCATACATTTATCACTTAGAAGAACTGCCTGGTTTCACCAGGAAACTATCCCCTCGGAAGGAAGTCTACTGATGTGTCATACTTTCGAATAAAAAAGATTAAATTTCGTTTGATTTCACATTATTTTTTAGATTAAGGATACAGTATTACACTGTGGTTGTTTTCTTTAATTAAAAGTTAAGATATGGAGAATGCAGAGACGTTGTCCAGTGAATATTCGAAAGCCTTACTCCCCAACACAATTATACAACTTGTAATGGGTACCCTAGGAGTATTTGGAAATTGTCTAGTTCTTTTGATGTACACTAAATACGTTGAAGACAGGAGTGGATCAAGATATTTCATACCAATTTTGGCTTTAGTAGATCTTATCGGTACTGTGTCTAACGTTAGTAAGAATTACGTGAATGACACTATGGGCTACATTTACCCCAGTGAATTTTTGTGTAAAACATTTGCTTTTTCAATGGTGTTGACTGGAGGATTTTCGGCTCATATCACTCTGGCTATATCGCTACAGAGATATTTAATGATATGCCGCCCGTTTGGCCACCAAATGTCCAAAAAATGGCGAAGAGTTGCCGTCTTGGTTATGTTTTTCATATCCATAGTCTATGCAACACCAGTTCTAAAATTTAATAAGATACATACACACACATCAAATAATGTAACTGGTAATATCTCTAGATGTGTGACCAAAGGCGATACTAAAACATCCAGTGGCATTGTACAGTACCTTGGAATTTTACTACTCTTTTCCATCATTAACATTTTTGTCACCTCAGTTCTTTATATTCCTGTGATTAAAACTATTTATAAAAGACGTTTGCATGTTAGACGCAATCAGGCAAACAATGTTCCCGATAGCAACGTTAATATCTCAAACAGTGAATTACAAACATTTAATGTTGAGGAAAATGCAGGTCTGAAACGTTCTGTACAGACTAATGATGAAAACATTAAAACCTCCAGAAAAGACAGAGAGGCTAGAAGGAATATTAGCGTCATGTTTCTCGTGATCATTATTGTTTACGTAGTTTCGTGTCTTACGTCAATAATAATGCAAATCCTACGATTTGCAACCAGAGAAGTAACAAAATGGTACATTAGAAATATCTACATATTCTGTCTCCGTATCAATCTTTTGAATCACATTGCCAATCCATATATTTACTGGTATTATGACCTAAAGTTTAGAAACGAACTTCAGAGGTTTTGTAGCAATAAATTTTTTAAAAAGTGATAATTTTTTTTCAAGATTAAAACATTGAATTGCGTATTCGCAATTTACCTCAACAGCGAAAATAATATAGATCTATTGTCAACTAACTTTTTGACAAACTTTTCTTAGTTAGTTTAAGCATGATAGTTCTGTTACATTTTTGTATGTTGTTTTGTTCTTCTGTTAACACATTGGTTTGAAAATAAAACATGCGAAACTGTATACTTTTTGTTTAAACTTGAAATGTTCCTCTAAAACATTTGATAAATATTTTTAAATAGCATTGTTTATTCGATCCAAGCTATTCCTTCATAAATACACTATATGTGTTTTAATTTATTTTCTCGTGAGGGTGTTAATGCTTTCAATGCATGTTATTTTACATCTTTTTTCTTTCCTAGACAGTTAGGATATATCTACAATCAAAAAAGGATTAAGTATAATAATGATGAAATCAATTAAAATTAGATTAATGAGGTATTTGTACTAGATACATAACGTCATTCAATATCAAATTAACGGCCACTCAAACAAAACCAATTAGAAGCAGAACAAACACGGACCTTTTAAATCATCAGTAGTGGGATCAGTGCCATGGAGGAGTGCACATGCCCTAGCGTTCGATCACAACCGCCGCGTGCTCCTTGTCATGATAAACAAAAATAACAGTATAAATTCAATCGACACTTCAGTGTGTAAATATTGGCATAACAATTAATATAAAAACGTCAGTCAAGGTTTGTCTTAATGATTGTTCAAAGTTTTGAATATGACAGTATTTTTAACAATTTTTACGAGTTTATTCAACACTGTAATCTTGTCCATTTTCAATGCTACAAATTGAGAAAAATATAGCATACTTTAACAAAGAAAGTTCAATTTCGATTAATGACTTTTAATAAGAGGCTAGTCAGTAAAACTGGAACCAATTACTACAACTGTTTATTATGATACTTGATTATTTCTGAAAGAAATGGTTGAAAAAGAAATTCTTTGTTTAAACAGACAAATACATATTTTACTAAAAAAAAAAGAGAAACAAATGGATACACAATTAGTAAAATCTTAGTAGATTAGACATAGGACAAAGAAAGGGAAAGGAAAAAAAAAAGAAAGTAAGAAAGTCGAAAGAAAATACAAGATGAAAGAGAATGAATGGAAAACATTCATAAATTGAAAATTTTGAAAGATAGTTTTACATCCTTACGGTTATCATTACTGAGGTCTGGTTAAAACAAGATAAACGGAGGCGGAAGAAAAGGCCGCCAATGAAATATATGTTTAAAAAAAGAAAAAAAAACTAAAATAGAAAATTTCTCTTGATATAGGTTTGAGAATGTTTACATTTGACTAGCAGAAAGAAACAGAATCTGTATAGAGTTGATTATATAATAAATTGAGGGAGTGAAACGGGTTTCAAAAGGATAAAAAAGCAATGTTTTTCTTGAGGATTGATCATGTTATTTTAAAACACTAATCAAATTTATTTTTGATGATAGAACTTCTGTACAATATTGATGAATTCTTTAATTACTGAAAAAGGACAAGTTCTTAGAACAATGTTTATCAAGTACTAAATTACTATAACATGAACTAAACAGTTTTTCCTATAAGGAATATGGCATGCATGGATTCAGATTATGCAAATTTACACGAATTTTGACCCTTTATTTTCCCATTTATCTGATCGATGAAGATCTCTCAACCGGACATAACCTGTTATAGAATTTACAAAGAAAAAGTGCAGAGTATATTCCCGTTAATTTAAGCCACTCTTTTTTATAATAAGTGTTCGAGCTATACATCTTGAATAAAATTTATGAAAATCAT